CAGCAGGAAAAAGCAAAACCCTAATCAGATGGAAACTGGAAAAAACAAGAGCACCTGAACTGAATTCCGATACAAGAAGAAAACGGGAGGATAAACGGAGGCTATCAAGCTATATAAAATGCAAACGAATGTATTAAATGGGCCTAGATTTGAAATTGGGCCTTCTTCGTATAAATGGGCTTATTTGATAAGAGAGAGAAAATTGAAAGAAGCATTTTATTTTTTTAACTTGGAAAGAAATAACCCGCCAATATTTTTAAGATTCATGGAAAAGCCCAAGTGATTTATTTGTAGAAATCTATCCATCTAAATAAATAAAAAAACATACGCCAACATACATCAGAAATGTATGTAATAGAATTAAATTGGTCTCATAAGTTTGGTGCGGACGATAAGGAAAACATGATAATAGGTGACTTTTAAAAAAGAAAATAAATCGTTTCTTAAAGTATTTAATGTTTTTTGTACGGATCCTGCCCATATTTTGCCTCTGTGTTTGAAGATATATAGTTGAAGCAATTAAATGTGTATGTACAATTCTCGATCAAAAATTCGGTGTGGGTGCGAGCAGGTATCCGGGACTTTTAGAGTAAAAATGTCTCGATCTCGATCTCGTTCTCGCGAGATCTGAATTTCCGTGATTTGGATATCTACGGTTGAACTCGAATATTCGCAGATATCCAATTGCCTGACTTTGCACAACTCAATCGTAAATATTCAGTTATCTCATATTCAATCTCGTTTGCAATCAGAATCCGTATCTCAAATACTCACGAACCAATATCCATTAACCCACAAATTTCGGATGTAAACGCGCACTCTATTGAAAATATTTTTAAGAGTTTATGGTAATTTATTTTTGGAAAAAAGATATGATTTTTTTTCCTTTCTATTCATTGAATTAGATTTTTTTAAAAATTGTAACAATTTTAAATCATTACTATTGATTGATATTTTACCAAAAATGGTTTTGCATTAACTAGGGAAGGTATCCAGACAGCAACCGACGTTGGGTTTCATGTCTTGATAATTTATTTATAGTTTTTAAAAATAATTAAATATTCCATTGTAGAAAAAAAACATACCGAAAATCATGTCAGACATCAGCCAATGATAATAAAGATAATAATAATAATAATAATAATAGTGTTTGCTTCAAACGATATGGGAAATACAAAGCTTGGACCTTTCCGTGCAATAATTTCTTGGTACCCGTGAGCCAGCCTCACTCAGTCACATCAAATGCAATAAAAGCCGTGAAAAGAACCACCCTTTGGAGATAATCTCGACGGGAATTAACGCTTTGTTAGCTCTCCGGATTCTTTTTCTTCCGTGGGTTTTCGGAATTCTGTTGGTGGACGAGCTCCAATGGAGGAAGAGGACAGGATCGAAGAAACCAGCAGCCTGAGACGTGTTGGAACCGGCGGAAGCAGCGGAGATCGACGGTGGGTCGACGGAAGTGAAGTGGACTCGGGATCGCCGCGGTTGTCGGAAAACATAGACGAAGGATATTATGGGACTTTGAGGAGAAGATTGGCGAAGAAACCCAAAAGAACCGATTCTCTTGATGTTGAAGCCATGGAAATTGCTGGTGCTCATGGTCACCACCTCAAGGTCATCCCTATTTTCTTTGACTCTCTTCAGTTTTACCCATGAGGAAATTTAGCTCCTTTTTAGGTGATTCGAACACATTGTTCTCTTTCTCGTGGTGGGTTTTCTGTTTCTTAGGGAATTATACTAGAATCTGAATCAGAACGTGTCACAAAGTCAACAGCAAAAAGACACCATCTCTTTTTAGCTATTCATGAACGAAATTTAGATTCTTTTCACCAAATGCAAATACTATACAGTGTTTTCCTGGTGGGTTTTTAGGGATACCGGAATCCAAGCCAGAATATTGTTGACAAGGTCTTGACTTCTTTGAATGAATCAGGATCCATCTCTTTGGGGCACAATGGCGTTAGCCTTTCAGACACTTGGTGTAGTGTATGGTGACATGGGAACAAGCCCTTTGTACGTTTTTGCTGATGTGTTCAGCAAGGTCCCCATAGAATCGGAAATCGATGTTTTGGGAGCCTTATCGCTAGTAATATACACAATCGCCGTAATTCCATTGGCGAAGTATGTATTTGTCGTCCTCAAAGCCAATGACAATGGAGAAGGTTAGCAAAGTTCTTGGTCTTGTCAATGGAGATCCATCTTTATATTGTGTGTTCTGAGTATATTTTCTCCTGTTCAGGTGGAACATTTGCTTTGTATTCACTTATTAGTAGGTATGCCAAGGTCAATATGCTGCCAAATCAACAACCTGCTGATGAACAGATTTCGAGTTTTAAGCTCAAACTCCCGACTCCTGAGCTGGAACGGGCATTACACATAAAGGAAGCTTTGGAGGCCAAAGGGTACTTGAAAACGCTTCTTCTTCTCTTGGTCCTAATGGGAACTTCCATGATTATTGGGGATGGCATTCTGACTCCTGCTATGTCCGGTGAGTTGAAGGGTTCCTATTGATTCATGCACTTTATCTGACTTTGATTATTATGATTACAATGTAAATTCCTCTTAAGCTTTCACAGTTTGAGAATCATTGCTTTAAATCATCACCATGGATTAAGAGACTGAGTTTTCTTTTCCCCTTTGTCCTTTCTAATGCAGTGATGTCTGCCATGAGCGGTCTTCAAGGTGAAGTAGAAGGATTTGAGACAAGTAAGCATCATTTACTCTTTCTTTCAAATGATCTATTCACTTGTCTAGACCACACAGATGATATTTTCTCGTAGCTCATGTTCCACTGCAAAAGATTCCCAATCACTGCACGTAACAATCAATTTCCCGTAACTCAAGCCCGTGTGTTCAGTTTGGTAAATTTAATCAGTAGGTGGAGCAATCATCTGAATTTTACGTGGTGGTTCATGAAAGAGCTCGATAAAAGTGACGTTAAAATTTCTATCTAGTTCCATTTGCCCAGTGATAGTAAACTTCATAATGTTTCTTTTTTTTTCTCGTTGTTTGTCAGATGAATTGGTTATCTCTTCGATCGTAATTCTCGTGGCTTTGTTTAGCATACAACGGTTTGGCACTGGTAAAGTGGGTTTTCTCTTTGCTCCTATACTGGCACTGTGGTTCTTCTCTATTGGTTCTATTGGAATCTATAATCTGGTGAAGTACAATATCACCGTCGTAAAGGCGTTGAACCCAACCTATATCTATCTGTTCTTCAAGAAGAATAGCAAACAAGCTTGGTCAGCTCTTGGTGGATGTGTTTTGTGCATCACAGGTAACATTCTCCTCAAAAACCCTGAAAAATTCATCTTCGAACAATGAATGAATCATTTGAAAGGGGGGAAAAGAAGCTTCTCTACTCGGTATTACATTTTCATTGCCTGATTATGAATCTCTTTTGTGAACGATGGGATGAACACATGTATCTGAACTCTGCAGGAGCCGAAGCAATGTTTGCAGATTTAGGGCATTTCTCTGTAGGAGCCATACAGGTTCGTTTTTGCATACTAACTTTGGCTCGTTGCTCTTAAAAAGTGAAGATTAGGATTGATATGCATGATGAATACATGAAGTACGATATATATGATGTATGACAATGCATGGTACATGAGACATACAGATTACAATAGTTATGGAGAATGATGCCTGTTATATAATGACCACAATGCTTGACATTGATGAAATCACGATGATTAACATCGTTTCTTGATGCAGATGGCCTTCACCTGTGTGGTGTTTCCATGCCTTCTCTTGGCTTACATGGGTCAAGCGGCTTATCTCACCGAACACCCCGAGTCATCAGCTAGAATATTCTATGATTCAGTTCCTGGTGATCAATCTGATTCTACATTCCTAACTTTATATATGATCGTGTATAAATCTGAAGTCTTGAATAATATACACGTGTATATATATATATATATGTGTGTGTGTGTCAGTGATAGTTATAATTCTGTGGAGTTGTCAAAATGCTAAACGTGTTGTGAATGTGTTGAACAGAGAGTCTGTTCTGGCCAGTGTTTGTGATAGCCACGTTAGCGGCCATGATTGCAAGCCAAGCCATGATCTCAGCAACATACTCATGCGTGAAGCAGGCCATGGCTCTCGGGTGTTTCCCGAGGCTGAAGATAATCCATACGTCGAAAAGACGGATGGGTCAGATTTACATCCCTCTCATCAACTGGTTTCTGCTGATCATGTGCATACTCGTCGTCTCCATCTTCAGGAGCACAACTCGTATCGCCAATGCTTACGGTTCTCTCCCCGTTTTTCCATATTCCCTTACACAAAATCGGGTTTTGGGTTTCGTTTTCGTTTCTTCACTGCAACATGGCTTTGGATTCTTTTTTTATTTCAGGCATAGCAGAAGTCGGGGTGATGATAGTGAGCACAATCTTGGTGACACTGGTTATGGTTCTCATATGGCAAACCAATCTCTTTCTCGCCCTTTGTTTCCCGCTCTTGTTTGGATCCGTGGAAGCGATTTACTTGCTAGCTGTTCTCTCCAAGATCAAGGAAGGCGGGTGGCTACCACTGGTTTTTGCGAGTTTCTTCCTTACCATAATGTACATCTGGAACTATGGGAGCGTTCTGAAGTACCAGAGTGAGGTTCGGGAGAGAATTTCAATGGATTATATGCGAGAACTTGGATCCACATTGGGCACAGTACGTGTCCCCGGGATCGGACTGCTCTACAACGAGCTCGTCCATGGCATACCCTCCATTTTCGGGCAGTTCTTGCTTAGCCTCCCGGCCATCCACTCCACTATTGTCTTTGTCTGCATCAAATATGTTCCTGTCCCTGTTGTCCCTCAAGAAGAGAGGTTCCTCTTCAGAAGGGTATGTCCTAAAGATTACCACATGTTCAGATGCATCGCCAGGTACGGTTACAAGGATGTCAGAAAAGAAGATCCTCGGGTTTTCGAGCAGCTTCTCATCGAAAGCCTCGAGAAGTTCTTGAGACGGGAAGCTCAAGAAGACGCTTTAGAGAGCACTCTGATCGATCTTGAACCCGACAGCATCTCCATTGGTGAGATGCCCACCAACCAGGACGAGCTAAGAATCCCTCTGATCCATCACAGAAGCCAAGTAGTAGCAGAGGAACCCGAGTCAGAGCCATTGCCATCTTCCAGTGTAGGAGCTGCAATGGAGGAAGATCCAGCTTTGGAATACGAGCTCTCAGAGCTGAGGGAAGCAACGGAATCGGGGCTGACGTATTTGCTGGCCCATGGTGATGTCAGAGCGAAGAAGAACTCGATTTTTCTGAAGAAACTGGTGATCAATTACTTGTACGCGTTTCTCAGGAGGAATTGCAGAGCAGGAGCTGCCAATCTGCGTGTGCCTCACATGAACATTCTTCAAGCTGGGATGACATATATGGTCTGAAAGTTTGATTCTTTTGTTACAGTTTCGTGATCTTTTTGTATAATGTTCATAATTTCCATGAAATACGGCTTGATTCAAAGATTTGTTCGGGGCTGAATAATTTTTTTTAAAAAAAAAACAGGATTCAGACAATGTTTTTTGTGTTGCGTTTGAGTTCTGGGTTAGTTTCTTGATGTCCCCCCTCCCCCCTTGTAGTTTGTAGTGGTCTTTTGCCTTGAACCAAAAGCAAAGGTTTAAAATTCTTTTGATGGTTCGTACTCTTCTTGTTTTTGGTGAATAAATAAGGGGATTTTGGATTTTGGTTTGGTCGGATATGAATTTTTTTTAGGAGCAATTGGCAAAGTGTACCAAAACAAAAATGAAATTTGCAAAATACCTCACAAAAAACAACTTTTATATAATATTTTTTTTCTAAATATCCAAATTATCCTTTATATTATTTTTTTACGATTGTATGATAATCTATCTTTTAAAAATCGGTAAGTTTTGCTATTTGATCTTCTTTTTTCTCTAATATTTTCTCTATCTCCTCTATTTCTTATATAATTTATATAATTTATTCAAATACTCTTCTCGTTGATTTTTTTTTGTGATATCCTGATCATTTTTTTGCATGCACATAAGGTGTTTGATGAAATATCTGTACCAGAAAACTGCGGCAGATAACCTACGATCTATGAAAAATAACATGCGCTCTGCAGCAGGTCATTTGGCATGCGGCAGGTCACTTGCGGCACCTGGCAAGTCAGCTGCAGTATCTGCAACCTATGACTATCGTCCTGCGGACTTGTGGATCTGCGGCTATCGCCTTGCGGACCTACGATTATCGCCCTGTGGTACCTGTAGACGTGCAGCTATTGCCCTGAGAACCTGCGGCTATCGTCTGCGGTACCTGCGGTTATCGCCCTGCGGTACCTACGGCTATCGCCCTGCGACCTGCGGCTATCGTGCTGCGGACCTGATAATTGCGATCGTGATTTTACTACGACCATATAACTACGACTACGACTCACTACGACCATATAACTACGACTACGACTCACTACGACCATATAACTACAACTACGACCAGATAATTACGACCGTGATTTTATTGCGACCATATAACTACGACTATGACTCACTACGACCATATAACTACAACTACGGTCAGATTATGCATGTTATTTCATTATGACTATATAACTACGACTACGACTCACTACGACCATATAACTATGACTACGACCATATAACTATGACTACGACCAAATAATTACGACTGTGATTTCACTATGACCATATAACTACGACTAGGATCAGATAATTACGACTGTGATTTTACTATAACTAGATAACTACGACTACAACCAGATAATTGTGACCGTAATTTCACTACGACCATATGACTACGACTACGACCAGATAATTACGACTGTGATTTCACTACAACTATCTTTTAGAAATCGGAACGTTTTGTTATTTGATCTTATTTTTTCTCCAACATTCTCTATCTCCTCTATTTCTTACAGTTTATCTAATCTATTCAAATATTCTTCTGGTTGATTTCTTTTTCAATGATATTCTGATAATTTTTTTGTATGCACATAAGGTGTTTGATGAAACGTCTGTAAGAGAAAACTGTAGAAGACGACTTGACGTCTATGAAAAATGACCTACGTTTTGCGGTAAATGACCTATAGCCTACGATAGATGACCTATGGTCTGTCAGATTATCTGCGGTCTGCGGCAGGTCATCTTCGGCACCTACGGCTTACGGTAGGTCACCTACGGCACATATCGCACCTACTAATATGCAAGTGTTTTTTCACCTACTAACATGCAAGTGTTTTTCTATACTTATATAACAAAACAAAATCAATATAAGTATTTTTTCATGTATACGGAGGAAAATGAAATTCATGCAAGTATTTTTTGTGACAATCTACCTTTTAGAAATCAGAACGTTTTGCTATTTGATCTTATTTTTTCTCTAACGTTTTCTTTACCTCCTCTATTTCTTACAGTTTGTGTTACCTATTCAAATACTCTTTTAGTTGATTTCTTTTTCTGTGATATTCTGATCATTTTTTTTGTATACACATAAGGTGTTTGATGAAATATCTGTAAAAGAAAACTGTAGAAGATCACTGTCGTATGTGAAAAATGACCTACGTTCTGCGGTAAATGACATATATAGCCTACGGCAGATGACCTACGGTCTGCAAGATGACCTGCATGCGGCAGGTTATCTTCGGCACCTACGGCTTGCGGTAGGTCACCTATGGCACATATCGCACCTACTAACATGCAAGTGTTTTTCTATACTTATATAAGAAAACAAAATCAATATAAGTGTTTTTTCATGTATACGGAGGAAAACGAAATTCATGCAAGTATTTTTTATGACAATCTATCTTTTAGAAATCGGAACGTTTTGCTATTTGAACTTATTTTTTCTCTAACATTTTCTTTACCTCCTCTATTTCTTACAGTTTGTTTAATCTATTCAAATACTCTTCTACTTGATTTCTTTTTTTGTGATATTTTGATCATTTTTTTTGTATGTACATAAGGTGTTTGATGAAATATCTGTAAAAGAAAACTATAGAAGATGACCTGCCGTCTGTGAAAAATAACATACGTTCTGCGGTAAATGACATATATGGCCTATGGCACATGACCTATGGTCTGCAAGATGACCTGCGGTCTGCGGCAGGTCATCTTCGGCACCTACGGCTTGCGGTAGATCACTTACGGCACATATCACACCTACTAACATGCAATTATTTTTTCACGAAACTCATGCAAGTATTTTTCTATACTTATATAAGAAAACAAAATCAACATAAGTGTTTTTTCATGTTTACGGAGGAAAACGAAATTCATGCAAGTATTTTTTGTGACAATCTATCATTTAGAAATCGGAACGTTTTACTATTTGATCTTATTTTTTCTCCAACATTTTCTTTATTTCTTCTATTTCTTACAGTTTATTTAATCTATTCAAATACTCTTCTAGTTGATTTCTTTTTCTGTGATATTCTGATCATTCTTTTTGTATGCACATAAGGTGTTTGATGAAACATCTGTAAAAGAAAACTGTAGAAGATGACCTGCCGTTTGTGAAAAATGACATACGTTGTGCGGTAAATGACCTATATAGCCTACGGCAGATGACCTACGGTCTGCCAGATGACCTGCGGCCTGCGGCAGGTCATCTTCGGCACCTACGGCTTGCGGTAGATCACCTACGATACATATCGCACCTACTAACCTTTAAGTGTTTTTTCACGAAACTCATGCAAGTTTTTTCTATACTTATATAAGAAAACAAAATCAATATAAGTGTTTTTTTATGTATACGGAGGAAAACGAAATTCATTCAAGTATTTTTTGTGATAATCTATCTTTTAGAAATCGGAACGTTTTGCTATTTGATCTTATTTTTTCTCCAATATTTTTTTATCTCCTCTATTTCTTACAGTTTGTTTAATCTATTCAAATACTCTTCTAGTTGATTTCTTTTTCTGTGATATTTTGATCATTATTTTATATGCACATAAGATATTTGATGAAATATCTGTAAAAAAAAAGTGTAGAAGATGACCTGCCATAAGTGAAAAATGACCTACGCTATGCGGTAAATGACCTATAGCCTACGACAGATGACCTACGGTCTGCCAGATGACCTGCGGCCTGTAGCAGGTCATCTTCGGTACCTACGGCTTGCGGTAGGTCAACTACAACACTTGTCGCACCTACTAACCTGCAAGTATTTTTTACGAAACTCATACAAGTGTTTTTCTATACTTATATAAGAAAACAAAATCTATATAAGTATTTTTTTTCATATGTGTGGAGAAAAACCAAATTTGTGCAAGTGTTTTTTTATAAATGCAGAAAATCTGCAGGTTATATTAATATAGAAGGGTATGATGGTTATTTTAACTTTTAAAAAAATAGAATACAAAGATTACAATAGTAGAAATATAGAATGCAAAGACGACCATTTATGCAAATTTTCCCTTTTTTTATTTGAATATTACATTCATTCAATTTTGTTTACGATTTTTATGTAGATTTTGATTATATTCAAATTATAAAACAATATTTATATAACATAATTGTTTCATATTTTTACTAGTTTTATATCTGCATTTAGATGCATTAATCTAATTTATAGTTAATATTTATTTTTATCTATTTGACTTTAATCGCTTTAATTATTCGATCATTCAACAAAATTAATCGTTTTTTGGACGACGTTGTGTTGTGTCTACTTGTCTCTTTCCACAATGTATAAATCCTATGTTGATATGGCACTTTTTGACCGGTTTTTATTATATTGTTCGAAGAAAACCAATGAGTAATTTTGATTGTTGCCTGTGTATGCCATAAAACCGGAACCAGACCACCAGAATCCGGTTTTGTTATTATTTTTAGTTTTAACCAAACCAAGCCCAACTAAATTTCTAAACCAATTCATTTTCTACTTTTAATTCATTCAATTTCTGCTACAGTTGATATTCAGTGAAAAAAAATATATTAAAAATAAAACAAATTGCATTTGGATTGAATTTAAACCGAATTTGGTTTAGTGCCATCTCGGTTTGAATACCAACCGGACCGGATTTCTCTGTGCACCATTCCGTTTTTGAACCCTTGATTCTGTTAATATATTTTGTTTTTCATTTTCCTTGGAAAAGAAAAGGAGGACACCACCTTTCAACTACTCATCATCGCCGGTGGAAGGAGATGAAGTGTAACTCTCGGATCCAAAGTCTCTTTCTCTCTCTCTGGTTGTATAATTTCATCTGTTCAGATCTGTGGTATTAACTTTTAGGGAAAGTTTGAGAAAAATGGAAATCGGAAGAATGAAGAATCAAATGGAAAATGAAGAAAAGAAGAAGAGAGAGAATCGTGAAAATGTTTTTATGATTTCATTCATGTAAAATGAAGTGTTTATATACATACATCTCTCACAAATATCCATAACAAACTCATAACAAACTCACAATTATTTTTAACAGAAAATATTCTAATATTCTAATATTCCCCCTCAAGTGTGTATCATCTTAAGGATGCACACTTGACACTTACAAATATTGAAACAAAATATGAAACTCCAACCAATAGTCAGATCTTCAAAAGTCAGAAAGAAAAACTTGAACAAGGCCTTGCATACTGAGCA